CGATGTGCCTGCCAGAAGTGCTGGTAGGTTCTGTAGTAGCAGGGTTCCAGCGCAGACGTGGGAAGTAGGCTGCATACAGTAGCGCTCAAAAGTCTTTGGTAAAGTGCTTTGACGCTTTCTCGCTCATAATCTTTTTCTTAGTGGACCAAATCGCGCGAAATTTGTTTTATGTTTAACTAGAGCATTTTTCATCCTACCCAGCACTATTTGACTGCGAAGCTGCAATATCCACAGATAGAGCAAGGTGTTTGTTGCGATTTTGATTGAGATTTTGCTAAAATTAAAGTTGCTGACGTCTGCACTTATTCGCACCTNCATCTGTATTTTCGGTCGATTTTTAGTTCATGCTCTTTGGAATACCTGGAACATGGTCAGATTGCAAGTTAATAGTGGTAAATATTCACAATACACCCACGCTCCGAATTTTGAAATTTCGCATGATTAGATCCAGTAGGAAAGGAGTTACGACTGAGGTGTATGACTGAAGAGCCATTTCACCGAAGACTTTTGAGCGCTACTGCATATGGGCCGGGTTCAGTGGGATCAGTTGCGGTGGGTCCGTCTATTACTTCCTATGTGTGTGTGCGTGTGTGTGTGGTGTGTGACTGTCTGTCTACTCCAATGGTGGTCCATATGGTTGCTGCAGTAATAAAGGGTAGTTGTGGTTGCATCGTTTTTTACACGACCATTGGACCCTAACCGCTATCAAATGCCAACAAGTATCTTGGTTAAGATATGGTCCATACTATGTTAGAGCTGCTATAATCATCGCAAAAACCCCAGGTCGTATGCCGTTGCAGCTTCACAATTATCTCGAACCTATATATTCACCCAAGGGTTGGGTGAATATATAGGTTCGAGATATTGATTTGAAGGGCATGAAAATTCACCCAAGGGTTCTTAAGGGATTCACGCAAGGGTTCGATATTCGGTCGCGCATCGGACTTAAAACTTTAGTTGGAAGCCAGCAAAACTCATATACCCTCTCTCAGCCTCTGAAAGGTGAATTTATTTTTTACTTATGTTTATCTATTGATTCAAACTTGCTAACAGTCGGCTCACTTGTCGGAGACAACATTACATTTTCGCGCTAGTAACCAAAAAGGGTTGGACGAGAATGAGATTGGAAAAACGCAGTAAAAGAGGTGTCTGGACGAGCTATACAATGTGTGCCATTGTGTACGTGTGGGCCCTGGTGTGAATACCTGACTTTAGTGAGCGAAAATATCCTTCAAAATCTATTCACTCATAAGCATAAATTAAAATCATAGTTCACGATGATTCTGGGTAGTCCAAATCAGTACACAGCACGTAGTATGCCCTTTGCCCTTTTCTGCGCTTCAAGCGATTGTTTAACACAATTACTTTACTGGGTACTCCTTCAATAATTAATAGCGGGAAAGGTATAGACCATGAATAGCCTTAGTCATTCCCTATTCGAGGATTCTCTAAAATTTGTTCTTGCTTTTAATCTTTAATTTTAAATTTTACATTTAATTTAAATTAATTTTAATAAAATTTTTAATTTTTTCGAGTGTATATCTAGTATTTGTATCGATTTTATCAGTTCACTCATTACTTCTGCTTTGGTAAATACTAGACCTTTCTGGGTGTGGTAAATTCTCTCCAAGAATAGCGTCGCCGTCGATTGTCGCTCTTTGAAGGGAAAGATTTGAATTTCCACTGGAAGGATACGGTAGTCGCCTCGGAACCATTGGTTCTTGCTGTGGGAATTGGGGTGGAAGTACCGCCACCCGATCTTTTCCAACTCTGGTGCGTGAGACATTGAGCCACGAACCCGTATTACTTATGTTATTCAGATAGAATAGTATTTCTTCCCTCGTTCATAAGAAATAACTATGCAATAAAGAGAATCATGCAATTTTAATCAGGAAAACATTCTACAGTAGCGCTCAAAAGTCTTCGGTGAAATGATACTTCAGCCGTACTTTTCAGTCGTAACTCCTTTCCTACTGGATCTAATCATGCGAAATTTCTATATTTGGAGCGTGGGTGTACTGTGAATATTTACCACTATTATCCTGCAATCTGATCATGTTCCAGATATTCCAAAGAGCATGAACTCAAAATCGGCTGAAAATACAGATGATGGTCCTTCTAGAATCTCTTTCCTTTTTGTCATGTCTAAAGTGTACGAGCGGTAATGCCGAACACAATGGATGAGAAAAACGCACATGGTGCGAATAAGTGCAGACATCAACAACTTTACTTTTAGTAAAATCTGCTACCGCAACAAACACCTTGCTCTACCTGTGGATATTGCAGCTTCGCATTCAAATTGTATTGTGTAGGGTGAAATATGCTTTAGTTGAACATATCCAAATTTTGCGCGAGTTGGTCTACTAAGAAAAGAGTTATGAACGAAAAAGCGTCAAAGCATTTCACCGAAGACTTTTGAGCGCTACTGTATAAGGTGAACAAATACAGTTTTATAGGATGCAGCCGAGTTACTTTACAACAAAGTGCACCATTACGATATCTACGATTCTGTTACTATACTTGTTTACTTTGTTTATTTTGTTTATTTTTGTCTACTCATCGCTTTTCTTCTTGTCAATGTTCTCACTTAGGTGTCATTTATGGGCCAACTCCTGCTATTGTAAAGAAATCTCTTCTCTTTGACGCTTTTTTAACCTTCAGTGGCTTTGAAACCTTTTTCCCTCCAAGGTTATGACCGATGAAGAGAACTGCACCGGTCCATGAAATCGTTTTTTGTAATTTCTTTCGGTTTCTCTAAGTGTCATCGAGGTATTCTTTCTATACCAAAAAGAAATTCCAGGACGGAACCCAGTTCATACAGTAATCCGGTTGTGGATCATTGCTCGAGCGTCTATTTATTACGCAACCCAACCGCAATTGCCACGGGAGTCGTGGGCTTGCTCAAGATCCAGATTTAATGCATTCATTATAGATGTGGGATTAGGGGGTGCCCCAGAATGAGACACTGCTTATTTTGCAGTTTCTGATAAAGTCACCACTAGAACGAAAATGGGAACTTGTACCTAAACGGTGTACCGAGCTCGCCTTCCACCATGTGTAAGAGTATATTGAGTGTCTAGCGGATGACTACGATTACTGCCGTAAAACTTCTACTTCGTGCACTCCTGCGACCGTGAGAGTTTGGAAAGAAAGTCCGCGCTGACCGAGTTTTAGGAGCAGACTATAGCTTTTCTTTCGATAAAAAACGTAGGGCAGTTAATTAGTCTGTAAGAGTTAACTATTCGTTTTAACTATTTACTGTCTTACTAATGAGCGATTACAACTACCTCGATTGAATCTTGACAGGTGGTCTTATAAATTCGTTCTAAAGTCTAAAGAACGTGGTCAACGTCCTAAAGTCCTTGGATTTTGTGATCCTGGGTCGCCCATTGGCCAACTGGACTGTTTCTTCTTTTGCCATAGCAGTAGTTCAGGTATAGCTTTCATACGTNAACTCTGAGCTGATGGCTGATCAAGGCCCTTAGGTCAAAACTTCTAGAACCATTTTCTCCTCTTTGTATTCAATGCTGCTTCTATATGATTACATCAAAGCAAATTGCGTTCATAAACGAAATTGAAGCTGAAGATGTAAAGGAAGAGTAGCAAAAGCATAACACATCCGCTTAATCACCCTACCACCGGGGTTCTAGCTGAATACCCGCTTTTATGATACCGTAATCATACAGTGAAGCAGAAGAAACAGTCGATGCAGCACCGATCCTACCTTCTTAATTCTAAAAGTGTGTATGGGACAGGTTGAACTCTCTGAATGCAGATATACGATCAATTTTTGGCGTCAGCCAGGTCCACCACCCATTCCCACAGAACTGATTGGAAACCAAAATGCAGGGTGTGCCACAAAAACATGGTGACAACTTTTCGGACCTTCGCGATTTCATTGTTTGGAGGTTTATCGAAATCTGCACCTTTTCTCATGTTCTGATATACCTTAGCTCACATATTTGTTTTGGTGCTCTCAATTTGTCAGATTTCGAAAAAACGGCTTCCAGCTCCCAATCCTCGTAAGAATTTCCCAAACCACAGAGTTATGGTTCGCTGGTCCATACTGAAGAGGGAAACCTGCGCTTCAAACCGCACCACTGTTGCTGCTCCTGAGAACTCGATGGAAAAAAGACCGGGATGAAGTTTCTCAAGAATCTCTGTGTGCCACCGTTGATGTGTAGGCCATTGTGGCCCAATTCTTTTGTTACCATATTTATAGCGCACCCTGTTCATGTAGGTGGTTCATTTATTAGAAAACACCGGAAACGATCTTGAACTGGGGTCTCATCGTGTTATATGAGGCGAGACCTCTAAAACTGATGGAATGCAAGTTAAGTACATAGTACACGCGACTCCCAAATATGCCCTTCTTTCTGTGAGTTACGGGTATGAGGACAAGCATCTCAAATAGTTGGAATAACCTGCATTCTTCATCACCTGGTCGGACGAGTTTCTCCTCTGTGGAATACCCAGATGATGGAGATCTACTGGTAGTGATTTGACGGCTGGTCATTTTAATTCTTAGAAATCCTCTTGATTAACGAGCCTTCATAATTTCAAGTAATATAGATACGTCCGGAATGTTTTTTTTATAATATTTTGAATAACATTACCTGTTTTTTAGACTAGGGACACCCGAGACGCTAAAGTTCCCAAGGTTGTTTTGGCATTCCTTAAGCCCACACTTTGGTAATCAATAGGGAGGCGGGATGCATTCGCTTTGCTTCATGATACTTCATGAGAACTCCGATTTCTGGGTCAATGACTTGATACGTAATGATTCCCTGTTCGCCAATCGTGCTTTCAACAAAACTTCGTTGTACTTACTTAGTTTGGAGAAATTGGCCGAACTAGTGGCTACGTCTTAGTCTTTCATCCCTTGCTACACTTCCTACCTCGATTTCCAAAGAGAAAAAAAGAAAAACACTTCAGTATGAAGCATGAAAAGTAGTTTATTATTAAAAAGACGTCGGTGTTGTTGAAATTCCTCATTCTTATTATCGTCGTCCAATGCCTCCAACTAAAAGATTATTTCATGAAAATCAGTTATGTGGAAAAAATGCTAAGGTAGTACCTCCAAATCCGGTATTTGTTTCTTGAAAAGTCGATGTCTGCGATACCGAGGACGATTGTCCAAAGCTACCGCCTCCAGGAAGTCCTCCAATACCGCCGCCGCCAGGGAATCCACCAATGCCTCCTGGATATCCATATCCTCCTACTCCTCCTCCTGGATATCCGCCAACGCCGCCAACTCCTCCTGGATATCCACCCATGCCACCAACTCCTCCTGGGTATCCGCCAACGCCACCAACTCCTCCTGGGTATCCACCTAAATTCTGAGAAACATGTTGTAAAAATTCACAGATAAGGAATACACTAGAGATTCCTCCAACAGCCAAAGTTCACAAACTCAAGTAAATTGCGAAATGATAAAAATAAATAATTTTCTTATTATCGTCAATTTCAATTTTCCCTTGCAATGCCTAAGTAAATAGTTAAGCTGGAAAAAATAACTTCCTATATAACTTTCACTCACCTACTCCAAACGGCCGTCCGTAGCCAGGTAGGGGGGAAGCATCGACGCCGACCGATATCAGCAGCAACACCACGAGGACTTTCATTATAGAGATGACTTTCTTTTTTCACGTTTTACTTTTATACTCTTTTATGTTTGGGTGGGCAATAACCAGTATTTACTATGCGGCTCAAAACAATGGTGTAACATTGGCAGTTCGCCAGACAGGTACTAATAGTTTCACAGTCGGAGGAAGTGCAGTGCCAAAAGGTGTCACATCGCACCTGCCTGGTTTTGATTAAATTCTGTCTAGCTGAGTGTATGACTTCGTTCGCTAACACCTCGCTGGGCATCCCTGGAAGAAGGAGCTCCTCACATACAGCGGGTGTTTGCCTCAGGGAAGATGGCGTGGTGGGCGAAGCTGGTTTATCGCATCAGCATTATAATAGGATTAAACCCGTTCAACTAAACCAATAATTTCCCACCGTTTCAAGTCAGGCACTATGTATCTTTTTCACTAAATCACTTATCCCATTCTTGGCGTGTCTCTCCGTGTCTTGTTTTTGAAAGTCCCAATAATGAGAGAGGTAATGAGGTAATGCCATGTGGCGCCTCTAGTACATTTATAGTCTAGGGTTCAAACTCCGCCGAGGCTACTGAGTCTTCCATTTCTCTAGTTTGCAAATGAATCGGTATCAGCTAGTCTGGGTGATAAAGATAGAAGCCTTTACATCGACTGCTCTACCTTGTTTCCGTCCGTTCCTGTTTCCCTGAAGGCTTGTATGGGCATTGAAGGCAGTTAAGCATCACTAGGATTAAATAACATGGAAAACATGACGAATCCGAAACGGGACCGACTAAAACCAAAATCATTCTGAAACTTTTTACCACTTACTATTCCTCTATTCCCTCTTTGTAGTATTACTTTCTCAATCATTAACCTCAAACTGGGTAGCATCATAAAGAGTCCTAAGGCAGTAACTTGTTCTCGGATAGCAATGAAATTAGGTTACACCTTTCGTTGGAGGCTTAGGAATTGGGTAAATAAATTGCCTTGAACTTCAAAGTCGATGGCTGCAAACCATTGTACTGTAGAGGTACCGAGAACAATAAAAAAGTCATTATTCTCGTTTTGCATTTCGATTACAACAGTGTGGACGAATATGGGCGTATTTCAAAAAGTTCCGACTGGAGACATCAACACCAGACATTCCAGATCTTAAGATTTTGATGATCATTTGGGCCACTTCCAAACCGTCTCCCCTAAAATTGTATCGTGAATACTGTTCGCACATATGACCCTGGAATATTTTTATTTTGCCAGAGGAGATTTCTGTCGAAACGCCATTGTCGGCATCTGCTAAAAGAGTATAGGAACCAATGGAAAATAATCCAGGTGGTTAATAAGTCAGTTCCCCCAGAGCAGAAATTCAAAGCGTCAAGAGCGATTTCTTCGTTGGAACTTCAAAAAGGCTTCGAGCTCTGAGTTAAGCCTTATCCTTGAGGTGGAACTTTACAAAAGTCTCTCTCCATACTTGTATGTTCTATAGAATGGACCATCGAGCTTACAAGTAAGGATGAGGGGTTTTGCCGCTTCATTCTCAACACTTCACGGATAAAGGTCAAATAACTTGAAGTTTTCGGGTGCACCACTGAGAGTAACCGACTTCTTTCGCTTTTCGAAACTCTCCAGAAGCAGTTGAGTAGCAGAAGATGCTGAGACGGTCTGAACAACTAACTAGGGTTCCATGAGCTCGCTTGGGACTTGTCATGGCACTGCGCTGTCTTCCCTGGTATGGATTCCCTGAAATTGGAACAGCAACTTTGGAATTTACCTGCTTTGGCCGCAACTGATTCTTCTCAATGTGATTTGCAGCAGTTTTGCAAGTATTTCGTTAAACCTTGATTTGAATATTCATTTCCGGAATACAATATTGTTCTAAAGAGAACAGAGAACATGATCACCGAGAAAATAGAGCATAAAAACGGTCCATTCGCCTAATGTCCTCGTCGGGAACTACCTAAAGAAACAAGTTAATGCTGGGAAAAACTGTCTGAAAAGATAATGTACTTGTGAACTTGATGTGGGAATGATAGCTACTTACTTCGCTATCCACAACACATACAACAACAGCATATAGCATACGATTGATATCCACCACCGTAACCACCCATTCCACGATATCCACCACCATATCCACTATATCCACCGTATCCGCCCATTCCTCCTCGATATCCACCGTAGCCTCCGCTCATAGGATATCCACCACCTCTCATGCCATATCCGCCGGACATTCCGTAACTACTGTAGCTACTGGACATACCTCCGCCGTAGCTACTTCCACCGTAGCTACTTCCACCGTAGCTACTTCCACCGTAGCTACTTCCAGCGTAGCTACCTCCTCTTGGAGCAACTACATATGTACCTAAACAAAACACGGATGAAGTTGGGAATTACGGTACTTCACGGGCTCAGTGAGGCCGAGGCAAAGCACTAAGTTTTCTGAATTTTGCAAAAATCTCTGGGTAGACCCCAACTTGATCATTTCCGTGTAAAACATTCCGAATGGGAGGACGTTACACCACTTCACTTACTGCTTACTTGTCCTCCTGCCATAACACTGTCGATAATCAGTACAAGCAGCACTAGCACAGCGTTCATAGTAAGAATGACGAGAGCTCCTCGCCGAATGTTTGCCTATCCCCTGTGACCTTTTATAGAGGGATCGAAACCGGTATTCACCCATTGAAATTTAGGTGCTGAAATGGGGTATCGTCATCAAAAGGTACGGGATGATAAAAACGCCGACTTGAATACCATCTTAAGTAGGTGCTGGGTGGGAGCCGGGTCATTGTTCATGTCATAAGGGGAGTTTTTATCAAGCTAAATACTCGATTGAATGAATAACTGAAACACATGAAATGAATGGTAATTCTATGACACCTTCTTGTGTAATAGGCTGTAACAAAAGCCATGTTTTTCTAAAGTTTCTTCTTCAGAAATCCACGTTTTCAAATTATGTCGTTCAACGTTTGAAAGGTATGTACACAGGTTCACCACAAAACTCACAAAAGGAGTTCTTACTCCCGTTGACGAACGAAGATCTTCTTACTCCCGTTGGCGAACGAAGATCAAGGACGCTGTTGCTTACGACAAGAATTCAAAGTTCAGGTGGGCCGGTTAGGCCATTTTGTGATAACCGGTGGACCCGAGCGGTTACTGACGAAATCCCTTGGGACGTCAAATGAAAACAAGGAGTACGGTCAGCTATATGGTCACACTTTTTCGTGGATGCCCTGACAAAGGACAAGGCAAAGCTATGCCGCATGTCCCTCGAGCGGTGCGGGTCCCCTGGACTACAACTTACGACAGGGCTCGATAAAGGCGTTAGTGGCACCAGCTCGAGCGAATCGATCATCAGAGGGACGACAGGTGATGCCGACCAACCTCTAAAAAACGACATGTTTCTATCCAAGGATAGTTAGGGTCCAGGTTAAAATTCAGGTTTGCGACAAGGGCAAGCCAGTCAACGAAAATTGCCCAAACTATAACTGTACCTAATTTTCTTTCCAAGGAATCAATCGTGAGCACCGACAGCTCAGTCAACTCTAGCGCAAACTACTGAACTGTCCAGCAAGCCTGCGATTTTTTTTTCGAAACTAGTTTTGCATCAAGGCTTGAGCCAAGGCGACTTCTCCTGAACAGATTCCTCCTTATTTATTTATTTATTTATTTCATGCACTCAGAGATGGCCTTAGAGATCTCCTCCATTCAAATTTAATTGACCAAAAAATAGTAATATTGCAAACACAAGCATATAGAAGTGCCTATTTAGAATTGAAATTGTAATTCGAAGGATTCCCAATCACAGAAAGTAACCTGACCAAGGTACACTTCCGATTTCTCTGTTTTGGGATAATTCCGTGTTTACTCCAAAACTGTTCTCCTACCCTTTGCTTGGATATTTTTCTTTTTTCTTTCAAGAGATATGATTAATTCCGTGTTTACTCCAAAACTGTTCTCCTACCCTTTGCTTGGATATTTTTCTTTTTTTTTTCAAGAGATATGATTGATGTCGAATTCCAGAGCCACGTGAAAGGGGGTCTTCAGTCAACAACGATGATGACATTACTTTGCAACCATTTTGCACTGAAGAGCAAACGGAAACGATCAGTGATCAGGATCATCGTATCAAAATCTGGGTCTCATTTCTGACCTCATTTCCACGTTTTATAAGTTTTTTGATGTCCCTGCGGTGATGTTCAATTGACACGGCCCATTGGACATCCTTTGATGGCATATAAGTGTGAAAAAGGAATAATAGGGTTTGGTAAACGACCCAACGCTTGAATGAGGGTTGTTATTGAGTAAAGGTGTATAGCTGACTGATTTCTTGCTATATGAAATGAAGATGGAGTTAGTTCCTACAGGTTTTGGTAATTGTCGTCGATTGGACTTCCCTCTTTGCAAACCTGAAATTCTACCTAAACGACAAACTTTCTTAGGACGAAATATTATAGAAATAGAAATAGAAAATAGAAAATATATAGAAATAGAACGTTTTCTATCCCAATTATTCTTCCATCCATTTTCAGATAGATTTCTTTCGATTAATATGTAACGTGATCTGAGGTATAGGGGACTTCAGGATTGTTTCAGTCAGCATGTATTAGTCTGAGGTTTTTATATCATCTGAACAAGCTTATTCTCGTAATTATGAACAATTGTTCTTGTCAGATGATATAAAAATATAGAGGATGAAGTCTTTGTGGGTTTCGCCTGAGGATGCGCTCCGCCCTCGGCTTCCATTCAAGATCGTAGCAGCATAGTGAATGCGTGTGTGGTCTATACCATGAATTGCGAGGGCCAGCTGATGTTCAGGTCAGTGCTTTATCCTTGAAGACGAGTCTGGTATCAATTAATCGACCCGAAAGGAAGGAGAACTTTGTTGGCCCAGGCGGATATAGAACCGTGTTTCGAACCCGTGATCATGCTTTTGTGATAAGGCACCAGTTGCCACTACATTACCTCGGCCATTCAAATGGATTTGACCAGTAATATTCAATACCCATTTGAAAAGTCTGAGGATTGCCAGATCATCAAGGCTCCGTGATTGGAAGTGCTACCAAATAAAGGGGTGAGAGTTGTCCTCAAGTAGCTCATTCAACTAGGAAATGGAACCGCTTACAGACGTTTAGGTCCGGGTCAAAGATCACCGGGGTTCAACCTCCTCCTATGCGGTTGTTTCAATGCCGGAACTTCGGCTCAATTTTATTTATGCAGTAATTGAACCAGTTGTTTATTTGCTTTTTTTTTTGTTTGTTTAACTTTGTTCAGCATTCTTAACTCGTTCAGTTAGGTATTATCTAGGCCTACTTTTCTAAAATACTCTTGGTGCATGAATTATCTGGAATGAGGTAATCAATTGATCAAAATGCTAATGATGGAAATTATCCTTAGTATTTTTATATGATTATTCGAAACATACTTTGTCTGAAGCTTAGAGATAACGCGGAGAAACGAGATTATTCCAACTACAAGAGCAGCTTACAGTAGGTTCACACTATAATATGGCAACACCCGAACAAAANTTTATTTGCTTATTTTTTTTTGTTTGTTTAACTTTGTTCAGCATTCTTAACTCGTTCAGTTAGGTATTATCTAGGCCTACTTTTCTAAAATACTCTTGGTGCATGAATTATCTGGAATGAGGTAATCAATTGATCAAAATGCTAATGATGGAAATTATCCTCACTATTTTTATATGATTATTCGAAACATACTTTAACTGAGGCTTAGAGATAACGCGGAGAAACGAGATTATTCCAACTACAAGAGCAGCTTACAGTAGGTTCACACTATAATATGGCAACACCCGAACAAAACGAATGTTCATAGGTAAAACTGATGACAGTCAGCGTTTGAAGAGCTAAAAAATCAAGGCTGCCAGGTTCAAAGTACGCTAATAAATAGCCTTTTGTTTCGTCAACGTTTTGGCCTTTCAGAACGCATTTTTCTGTCCCCCTTCTTTCCCGTTCTTGTCCAAGCTGTACACCAGAAAAGATTAATCGCTGCAGAGCCAATGCTGAGTCATCAAATTACTGTATGACGACTACATTCAACGGTGAATTTGGACTTTTCTTTTGCATCTACGTGTCATTGACCTCAACAACAACCGTCTTGACCTAACTCCCGCTCTTGAANGTCGTTTGCAACGATTTACACATCCATTCAAAACTTCTTTGAAGGTAGGAAAAAAACGAAGTGGTCGCCGCAGAAATTGCTCGTAAAGGTCATACCGCATGGTGTCTGTTGTATTCGAACTTTTGTAAACGATGGTAGTGTATGAAGCATAAGGGATGGAATGTTCACCATTCATTGATCCCAGTTTGGATGTTGGATATCGCCCCGCTCTACAATGGCTTGCGGTGGAGGCCAGCTCATTAAGATGTCAGTGCGTGTATCCTCCCAGACTAGTTTTGTACCAATTAACCGGCTTTGAAGAAAGGAAGGCTTAGCTAACATGGGCGAATCATCGTCGATCCTAGATACGATTTCCAGACCATGCATGTGGTGGTGGTGCCTTACCACTGCACCACCCCCGCCCGAATTATTCCATGAAATAGATGAACCAAAAAAGAAGCACGGTTCAGACTCGTCGTTTGAATGAATCACAGTTTGGTAGATGCTCCCACTTAATATCAGTATTCGATGCATTATCAGTCGATTCATGAAAGTAACGGAGAAAACATCTGTATTCCATTGCCGGCCCAAAAAGAATAAAATTTTCGTTCAAAGAAAAAGAAGTGGAAAAAGAACTGAAAAGATATCTAGTATTTAATAACATCTTATTTGAGTAAGGGAGCTACTTAAGAAACCGAAACAGAGGTAATTTTGAGATAGAGCAAAATAGCAGGCGAAGCACTGCGGGTAAGTGGAGGTGGGGTGGTGCCAAGTGGCGTCACTATCGAGCGGGGAGATCGAAGCACAGATCTTTGAACGTTAAGTCCATGCAAGCTTCGATCACCAAGAGAATAATCTCGGATACGAGGATGATGTGCAAGGCAATGCAAGCCAAGATCCAAATGCTTTTGCGACTCTGAATGGAAGTCGAAAGCGCGGCGCATTTTAAATCAACTACATAAATGAACTCAAAAATGTAACATTCATCGATTAGCATGCATACAAGAATCTTTTTGGCTACGTGATGTTTGAACATTCCAATAAGAACTCAACGATAACGACTGTGTAATCATTAATGGGAAACTGATTTTATCAAGGGTTTTTCTGTGGAAATTGAAATGTGGATTAATTGCCCATCCTTTTCTGATGAAAATGACAAAAACTGGTCAAAATAGAGGTTTCAAAATGGAAATCAAGGCTACGAGTCTACAGTTCAACGAACCTGAAGAAAAAGGCAATTTCAGGGCGTGCCACTTGAGAATATGTTGCACAGAGAGGGACCAGACTCAGACCAGTCTACTTTGCTATCTCTCAGAAGTTGGCTGTACGTACGTGATTCAGCCAGAGGGACCTAAAGTCCCAATTAGGGATTGAAAGGTTTCTGAGATTTTCCACTGGTACGAATCTCTTGCTTTTAAAGGCAAAGTTCACGATAATTCAATGGGCGGGGATGTCAATTTCTTTCCCGCTTTTCGATC